GTGAACAACTTGTGTTTCGCGCGCTCATATGACCTTAGCAGTTGCGAGCGCCGTAAAACCTTATACTATACATACATACATACACACACACACACGCGGGCCGCTCCATTCGCAATTGTTATCAATAGATCTCGAGAATGGAAACCATAGAGTTCAAGTTTATTTTCCCGAATGTTCGGAGAAATAGAGCCGGCCATAAAAAAAAAGCAAGGTCTCCAACCAGTGGAAAAGGCTGACTTGTTTTTATTAAGGCCACCTCTAGCTCTATTCTCACTCCGGGTGAGAATAGCGCAGGCGAGCCTTTTGGCTATTTTCACCCGGTGTGCATTCACCGTGATAGTGATAGCCTAGGCCAACCAGTGTAGCGTTCACCGTGAACAAATGTTCCAGCGCTCTTGTGTTGAAAGCGTGCAATTTTGTTTGTGGGCAGTGAGAGAGAAGGGGGAGGGAGAGGAGTTGCACGAGAACTTCCGGGCAAAACAAAACCACGATCCGCGTAGTTCTGCTTGATTCGAAAAGTTAAATAGCCGTAGCATCTTTGTAGAGGACCAAATTAATTTACTTTTGTGTTTTAGCATCATTTTTTATCTTTGTTTTTGTCAATTTGATCGTCCACACCGATAGACAGTATTCAGAAAGAGACAGAGAGAGAGGAGTAGATCTTGCGAGAACTTCCGGACGAAACAAAATGGTGACCTGCATATTTCAGCTCGATTCGAAAAGTGAAATAGCCATAGCATCTTTGTAGACGACCAAATTAGCTTACTTTTGGGCTATAAGGTCATTTTTTCTTTTCCGTTGTCAATTTGATCGTCCACATCGACAGACAGTATTCTGAAATTAGGAAAAGCAGGCCTTGCTTCTCACCGGGTGAGAATAGCCAACGCTGGCAAGTCTCACCCACGGTGAGAGGTCGATCGTATTTTTATTCTCACCTGGGGGGTGAGGATAGCCACTTCCCTTGTTTAACAGGATAATTAAATTGAGCTAAAGATCCAAAGTTAGAGATGAGTCCACAAAGGAAACGCAGCTTTACCGGCCCACTACCACAAGACTGTCAGGACTTGTGATGTGACAAGACAAATATAATAGAAGTCCCATAGCCTTCCACTGATTCACACCTTCAATGGAATGTAGGATCATATGTTTGAAATTTACAAAACTTCTTGTCTTATTTGAGGCGGTATGGCATCACGCAGAGATTGAGTTGTCCTGAATGAAATTTTAAAAATCCTGACTTGGGAGGACTGAATTGTGTAATGAATAACCAGTTAGGGTTTTGGTTTGGGCTGGACTTAGGGTTAGGCCCCTTCTTTGATAGTTTAGAATGCTGGGCTGGTGGCCCGTTACGGAAGTCTTTCCCCTGACTGAATTCAGTATTGTATGTTCACTAACAAAATAATCAAGGAAATATCGGATTTCATGTGAATTAATTAGGCATAGCCTAATAAGTATTCCCACTTTGGGCAAAATGACTAATTTTGATTTTAACTTGCAATGAGAATAATAATAGTCTCAAAAATTTTTAACAGTGTCAGTGTGGTGAATCTAATGTTGTAAAATGAAAACAATAAGAGAAGGCAAAGAAGCAGAGATGACAATACTACAATAAGAACAGTTACCAATTTGGTATATTTTTTTAATGCTCTATATCTGGCCTTTCGCTGCAGGAGCAAATGCCATTTATATAATTCCATGATGTGGTCTGATTATTAGGCAGTAAAAAGTCTTTATAAAAAAACAAACACATGCTCACAGTAGCGATTATATGGTGAGTTAATTCCCCCGTACCGTTTTGAGATTGACTGTACCAGTTTGGTATAGTAGATTTTTTTATTTTTGGAAGGCGGGGGGACCAGGAAGGTTTTAATGAAATTGTAAGTGTTTTTACTTTTTATGCCCTATCAATGCAACACACAATCAAATCATTGAGGAGGTGGGCTTGGACCCTGCCTATCAGGACCAACCTGGGATGAGAAGGATACAACATGATCTCAGCAAAAAAGGTAGACATACTAGATTCTAAGAATTCTCCCCGCTTTGGAATCGAACTCCGGTCTCGTGCTCGCAGCAGTGAGGTGCCTAACCGCTGCTCCACAGACTCTGGTAATAAAGTGTTTCTCTTGTCTCCATCATGTATGAATCAACAAGGAATCAAGTTTTGAGATCAATTATCTTGAAATTGATTTCTGAACTTTTGTTGCAGTATCATTACCCCCACTTCTGAATTTTGAATAATTTATAAGATTTCTGAATTTTCAACAAATTTCATTAATATTTCATAAAACTTTTTATGTGTTATATTTGTGTACATGAAGTGTAGGCCTACATCATGTGTGTCATATGTTACTGACTGATTTCTTGATGATGTTTTCAGATTTTAGAAATGAAAGAGTTTTTTATATATGTACAAAATATGTCATGGGATGTGATGAAGATTTTTCCCACTGTTTTTTTTTTTTTACTGTAGAAAGTTGTGATGTGGAGAAATTTGTTGTTTTTTTTTTTTTGCTGTACAGAAAAGAGCTATGCATCAATATCATGCGGCAACCAAAGTACCGTCTGAGCCCCAATGAGGTGGAACGTCTGGTGAAAGAGGAAACAGAGCAGCGGAGGAAGCTACGGATTGTGCAGGTGACTGAAGGACTCTTACCAGTTAAATGGCTCTGTTTAATATTTTTGTTCCTCATTACGTCTTACAGTATGAAATCATCATAATCCTTGCCTTTCTCATTGTGGGTCAGGATATAGGCCCCGAACAAACTCTTTCCACTTTTACCTATCCTGGGTTAACCACTTTTCTGTACATCAATTTCTGACAGTATGAAATAGTAGAGTTGAACATTCGAGCTAGCTGAAAGGAGAAACACACAAGTTGTTGTCAAACTTGCACACATAAAACAGTTCATGAAGTTTGCTGTGAGTAACAAAACTCTGCAGAAGGGAGGAAAATCCTGACTACTCTGTATAGTTTTTGGGAGGGTGTGGATGAACTGTAAATGTGATGGCTCTTTTCTATCTTTTAAATAATGTATGAGTGTGGATTCTTGTCATCTGATCTGAATTTTGACCGAGTTTACGAGATGTGCTGCTGTTCAAGATAAATTTGGATTTCTCATATTTATCTGGACATTGCATTATATTTTAAAATGTCTTGGTACAATAATATGTATTAACTAGACAATATAAGTGGTAAATTTTGAGTCTTTGGGCTTGTGTTTCCATGGGTCTTAAAGGTCGATTTTTCCCGTAGTCAGTTGGCACCTCTGTATTACTGAGTATGCTTCTTTATAGTAGTTCATGGATATGTATTCTTTACAAATTGATGACCATCATGTTGCTAACAGGAAAAGTGCATAGATGGAAGTCTTGTTCAGTAAATCCGTTATTGTTTCAATTTTTTTTTTCCCCTGCATCTCTAGGTTCGAGAACAAGCCAAGACCAATGCCGCCAAAGTTCGGAATGATGTGCGCAGAGAGAAGTCACGCCTGCTCAATAACATGGCCTCGGAGATCAAGGTATATCTCTCTGTGTGTCTTTTTAACTATTCTTTTGCAACTACAGAGAAAAACATTAATGAGGCAGACTGTCTGAGTCTTCTGAAGACAGAAGGCGAGAGAGTTTGGGTCATGTTTTACACCCCTTTCAACTCTGATTGGGTAAGAAGAGGCGGAAGCTGGCATTAATAGGTAGGGTTGAAACCTGCCTACTAAGTCATCAAAGTTGTGTTAATGAAGGCGTAAAAACATCTACATGTAGGCCTACATCATGTGTGTCATATGTTACTGACTGATTTTTTTAATGCTGTTTTCAGATTTTAGAAATGAAAGAATATTTTATATTTGTACAAAATATAAATGTGTCATTGCATGCTAGTGTGTCCAGATGTGATACATTCATTCAGCTGTGCAAAGTCAGTGGTGAGATAGTGCTGGGACAGTCAAGTTTTTGGCCATCCCACCCACAGAATACGACCACACGCATACCTGGGAGGATCAGTGAAAGTCTTTGATGAAAAAGTGATTTCCAGTCTCACAGAAATGCGTTTCAAAGTTATAACTGGTTAAATTATGTAACTTTGAGAAGAAAAGTATCATTACTGATATTTTCTTTTAATACCAGATTTTTAAGGAGACTGAAATTGTATACAGTAAAATTTCAAGTTTCAAAGAAAAGCAGGTTCTAAAGTGGATTGAGATGGTGGTCAGTGAGAGCTGAGACTTACCATACCCAACAGACATGGAACTATTTGGTGGTCTTTTAATTGTCTTTTGATGAGATTAATCTTTGTTATTCAGACATTGGCACACTGGTATGATGTTTCATCACATATGCATACACACACTTTCTCTTCCACACTCATGTACGCATACATACAAAATATATGCTTACAATCACAAACAAGCCTACAGTGACACTCATCATGAATTAAATGATTAATTGTTGACATTAATAATAGTTTAATAAGCATGATACATTATCATTCTCATACAGTGGGTGTCGCATTCAACGAGGTTGCCGGGACCGGTTTGTTGTCCTCGTTGAATCCGACATCTCGTTGAACGTGACTAAGGCTAAAGAAAAGAAAGGAGACAAGTTATTATATTACATGATGTATCAATACCACTTATTAAAACAGTTGTTCCCCCTGATGACGAAAATCTCAAACAGCATCAGTGTTCTATCCGTCGTTTATGTAGCATATTTTAAAATATTTTTTTCTGGAACACTTCTCGTGTGGAAACATACCCTCTCACATCTAGGCTTAGATCTACATAAAATAAAGGCAGGAGCTTGGATTTTCTTATCAGGGGAAGAAAAGAAAATTGAAAAAAATGAAGATCTCCCTCTAGACCTACCCATCCAGAGTGCATCCAGTTTCACACAGCCTGCGTCACGTTCTCACCCACCCCCCTCTCATCCCTATCGTAGGCTAACCCTTGCCCGTCCTCTTGGCTTTGGAGCCCATATTACGAGGCACACTAGATCTAGCAATACAATGTGTTAGGAATCAAGGATGGGCTTTGTGCTTCGCGTGAGATGGAGAGAAAGGAGGAAAATTCTTCCCTTTTGGGGCAGTTAATTGCTTTTATATGGTTATCGCGACCTCGTTGAAAGCGACTTCGGTCTGTTTGCAACCTCGTTGGAGCTGACGTTCATTTACTAAGATATATAGAGGAAAAAATCGGGGATTACGGATTGCCTCGTTGGAGCCGACTTCTCGTTGAATGTGAGCTCGTTGAATGCGACACCCACTGTAGTATTCTGATAATAGTAGTGATGGTAACTTCATAGATTATGATAGCAATATTGTTGAAGCAAATGATGGCAAAAGAGAAATGATTTTAACCCTATCCGTACGTCATATTTTACTATCATATCCATACTACGTGGGGAACTGTGTGTCACCACTTTCCAAAGAGGAAATTTACTCGTTAATCCGATCCGTGCGCTTGCATGTCAAAATGTTTTGTATTTTTTAGAAATTACTAGAAGCATTCTAAAATGTGAAGAATACTACCCCAGGGGTAAAAAATTACCCCAGAGCTTACGGATAGGGTTAAACAACATTTGTGTAGCTCATTACTTAGTACAGATTACAAGCTCTGAGTTCTGTGTGCCGTTTTCACATTGTAATACGAGTTCATTGCAGGTAAATCATTTTTAAAGCATCTCGAGCACTGAAATACATTTTTCAGTATAGATAGTTGGGATTCTTTTTCAGGAAAATTTGCGTCTGTTTTACTCTTTTGATGATAGCCACGTTTCCTTTCCATGGAAATTTTAGTCCGTTTGGGGTCAATATTGAAGAAAGTAACCCCCGCCCTCCAAATTGCCTTGAGCTGTGCAGTAGGGTATTACCTGTCTGTCATTGATGTCTATATATTCAGGAAATCTAGCATGAGATGGTCTCCGTCTCAGAACTGCTCCCATTCACTGTCTGATTTTTTTTTATTTTTTTTTTCATTTTTTTTCTGTGTGATTTTTAGAAGCTGGTCCTCATAACCTATTGACAATGTTTTTCACAACAGGGCCAGTTGGAGGCTGAGAAAGGCGAGAAAGTAAGAAAACTGGAGGAGAAGTATGAAAATACTCTGAGGACAATTGGCGAAGGACACAGAGAGGTTCATCTGCGGGTAAGATATTGGGTACCAGTATCCTTCTTTGCATGTCTGATTTATTTCCTCGTTTTTGTTTGTCTGTGACTTGAGTTGTGAGGTAACACGAAGAAATTGTTGTGCTGAGGGAATGAAATGGTGACTACAGTCATTGTTCTTGTTGTTAGCGATCCAGTAGCATCTGAGCGTTAACTCTTCTGCATGTTGCCATTCGGTAATAGCTGCATGTTTGTTCTAATTGTTGTCTTGAGGAGTAGAGGCAATTAGATGTGTGGGGTAGCTTGGGAAGAAAACATCCCCTTAAATCAGTTAGTTTTCTACAGAAAAACCAGATGATGTTCCACTGTCTCTGAGGGGTAATCACATAGTGGGCAGGCAGCAGACTGCTTTACTCTAATTCGGTTGAGATGTTGGTTGAGGGGTACATGTTGTGTTCTAAGTTGGAAGTGACTACAGTCAAACACAGGTAACTCGAATTCCGGATGTTTATTAAGTTATGTTTTTAAAAATTTCAACTCAGTAATAATTGTGCTTGTTCAAGAAAAATAAAAACGAGAGGCAGGAAAATTGAATTGTTTAGAAGCACATAATGACAACGATGATGAAGATCAAATTTTAGAACCATATGCTGGACGTCTTGTTGTTAGAGTTAGAGTATTTCAGTATTGCCCTCACTAGATCCCCTCAGGCTGTCCTGATGGGCAGGACACATCCTCATTCCTTACTTCTTTTATCGGGTGATCAAAATTGTTTCGTTTACTCTAATTAGTAGGAGTGGTTGGTTGCTGGGTGTTTTGGGTGTGGTTTGTTCCTTCTTTCCTATCAAACATCTATCGTCCTTATTTCTCCTCCTTCTTTCCTATCAAACATCTATCGTCCTTATTTCTCCTCCTTCTTTCCTATCAAACATCTATCGTCCTTATTTCTCCTCCTTCTTTTCTGTGTTTGTTACTCCTTCTTTCCTATCAAATATCTATTGTCCTACTCTGTCCTTTTTTATGTTTGTTTCTCTCATATAACACCTCTCTAAAACTCTTTGCTAAAACTAAAAAATTGGTAGGGAAATACTCTGTGTATAAGTAATATAATAATGACATATAAGATAAGATAAGATACATCTTTATTGTCCAGATCCTGGCACATTGGTTTGGTGTTACACCACGAGTACACACACACACACACACACGCGCGCACAAACACACACACACACACAAACACACACACGTACACACGTGCACACACATACACACACAAGTAGGCTTACAATCACATGCATAATATAAATGAGCAGCAATATAAACAATAATAATCGTAAGCTAGATACACACTCAATGTTATTTTGATGCATGCTCTAAGGTCGTAAGTACACCAAACAAGATGGTTAAGATAGAAGCATTTTGATAGATGATGGTAAAAATGACCTTCTGTGTCTTTCTTTGTTACAGATCAGAAGCATGGGTCTTTTACTTCTGACTGATGTTTTTATTTGAGGGAATAAGGGATGTTTGTTGTCTAAAAAGATGGAATTAATTTTCTTAGTGCAAGCTGTTATGTACAATTCATCCAAGTAGGGGAATGAAGATGTTGAAATTTTATATGCTTTCCGTATTAGTCGATTTAATTTTTCTTTATCTTGTTGTCTTGTGTTCCCGGCCCATGCTGTTATACAAAAATTGATCATACTCTCTATGGTTGAATGGTAGAACATGGACATCAGTGTTTTATCAACTTTAAAATACTTTAGCTTTCTTAGAAAAAATAGTCTTTTGTTCACTTTTTTATGCAGGAGAGAAGTGTGGACACGCCAGTTGAGTTTGTTGTCTATTGTAACACCCAAATACTTATAGTCTGACACTTGCTCGATGTTTTCACATTTCATTTTGAGTGGCTGCAGGGGCAGTTTCTTTATTCTAAAATCAACGACAAGTTCTTTTGTTTTTTTTCACATTTAAAAGCAGCTTATGATTTTCACACCATTCAGAAAAATTAAGTACAAAATTCCGGTAAGCGGTTTCGTTATGGTCAGCCTGAATTAGCCCAATTATAGTTGAATCATCTGCAAATTTTATCAACTTGATGTTACTGTTGTTTATTTGGCAATCGTTCGTGTATAGTGTGAATAAAACTGGTGACAAAACACATCCTTGAGGGGCCCCTGTATTTGTTGCGATGTATGTCGATGCAGAATGTTTTAATTTTACATACTGGGTTCGGTTGGTAAGAAAATTGCCTATCCATGATATTAAATTGACGTTAACACCTACGTTTTCTAATTTCTTTAATTGAGCATTCTTCAAGGGGGTACAAAGTTTTGATTTGAGTTATCCTTGTTTCTCAGGGAGATGGACAGAACAGAGCAGAATGGAGAAAGAAGCAGAAAGAAGCAGAGCTTGCGGCACATGAACGATTTAAAGTGGCCTTGGAGAGAGAGAAGAAAGAAGCAGAGGAGAGGGAGTTCAAGGAGAAGGAGCACATATATGCCAGGTATACGAGAGGGGTATACGAGAGGGGTATACGAGAGGGCCCAGTGGTTAGGCTACCAGACTCTTAATCGTGAGGTTGCTGGTTTGGGGGTTCGAGCTGCAGGCCCAACGTTGTGTTCTTGCAAAAGGCACTTTACATGAATTTTCCTCACTTCACCCAGGTGGGAATTGGTTCTCGGTCATAGACATTATATTGGTGTTTTAGCACCTATAAATGGCAGCTTGCAGTGTATGCTTCTCAGGGAGTTGAGATTGTCCAAAATCTAACACAACCCATGCACAGAAGGGTTCCTGCTCCACATTAAACCAGCGGCTCCTATACAAAATACCAATGAACATAATATGTATTGTCATATTAAATATTTAGATGGTATTCGTATCTTGGTCGATTCTTATTGTAGATGTAACATGAATGTGTTAGATACTGCCGAATTTATTTAGCTTTGAACAAGTATACTGCACGAGTGGATAGTGTAAGACTTTAACACAAAAATTTGATGAAGTACAGTCTCAAGTTTCGCTTGTACTCCATTGTTTATCCGCATCCTACCTATTTATAGGTTTACACTGTCTTTTGACTTTTGGATATATTCCCGTCTTTATCGATTTTGGCTCCTACTCCTTCTTCCCATTTTTCAGACAAGCGGCTTTGGAAAAAGAGCGAGAGAGGGCCGCTGAGATTGCCTCCCTGCCCGCTCCTCCGCCGGACATCTCAGTAGAGCTGGAAAAGAGTCAAAGTAAGAATCAGTGGCTGTCAGTGTGACTTTGCAAATGTTTGTGCTTTGCTGGGTTTGTTTAGTTTTTTCAAACTTATCACATCAATAAAAACTTTTAAAGAATTGTGGTGAGACTATTCTAGTCTGTGTGGAAGAGAAGATGTGTGAGGGAAGAGTGTGTATGCACATGTGCGTGCATATGTGTGTTTGTGCATGCACATGGTGAAACACCGAACCAGTCTGCCAGGATCTGGACAATAAAGATGTATCTTATCTTATATAAAAGATTCTCAAACTGATGGCTTGCAGGCCAATTGAGGCCTGAAGGATACATTTTTGCAGCCCCTACTTGACATCAAAGTTAAGGTGTTAATGTGGCCCGCAGGTTTTTCTCACACATACCTTTTAGCCATGAAAGGTGTTGCCTTGGGTTTTATATTTTTAACCTCTATTCAGCTGGTGCCAT